AAGTCATTATATTACTTCATAAAACATTTTTTTTTCCTGTTTGAGATATAATTGACATATTAGCACTGTATAAGTTTAAGGTGGACAGCATAATGATTTGACTTATATATATTGTGAAATGATTACTACAAAAAATTTAGTTAATGTCCATCCTCTCATAGAGAAGCTAAAAAGCAAAAATGTTACTTTCTTGAGTAGATTAAAGCAACTTTTAGTTGTGTAAGTGAATTTTTGCAGTGTGTGTATTATTTTTATTTGTTTAATTTTATTTATTTATTACTTATTTTTTTTGTGAGGAAGATTGGCCCTGAGCTAACATCTGTTGCCCATTTTCCTCTTTTGCTTGAGGAAGATTGTCACTGAGCTAACATCTGTGCCCATCTTCCTCTGTTTTATGTGGGACACTGCCACAGCGTGGCTTGACAAGCAGTGCTAGGTCTGCACCTGGGATCCGAACCTAACCTGGGAACCACTGGCTGCGGAAGTGGAGCATGCAAACTTAACCACTGTGCCACCGGGCCAGCCCCTGTGTGTATTATTTAAATTACGTAGATACCAAGTCTAATAATCTCAGTTCTATCTTCTCATGTAGTCTTTTATTTTTCATTTTGTAAAATGGTGTTAATTACCACCGACTTTTCTAAAGCTGTTTAAGAAATAAAGAAGATAATCTACATGAAAGTTCTTTGTAAGCTATAAAGTGCTAGAAAAATGAAAGGTATTATTATAGGGCAAAAGTAAACTTTAGTTCAGTCTTTGATCGCAAATTCCCGCCAGAGAGAAGTTGGAACGGATAGCTCTTAATAGTATTCATTCCCCTTAATATTTTATAATAGCATTAAACTGGGGAAAACGGAATCCCATTTTATTTTTACTGGGCAAGTGAAGATGATTGAACCATTCTAAGCTTTAAAGGATTAGATGAATTATAGGAATTTCCTTGAATGTATCTTAATTTCTTAAATGGATATCACTTTAAAACTTGTAAGTAATTCTATAGAATAATATTGGTTATTTTAGAAAATATCGTGGTACCTTCAAATCCAGGCTTTGCCTTGCTGGTGACTACCCTCAGCTCTCAGTTCTTTACACATCACGTGATCAGATTAACTTCAGAGCACCTAACGGTGGTGGTCATTAGAAAACTTTTGATAACAGAACCAATATTTTCCCCTTAAATAATTAAACCTCTTTCTAATTTAAATTAAATGCTTCCTTTTTTGTCAGTTAAGAGTTATTTTATTTAAAAGTTTAATACAGCAGCATTTTTTAATTCACAATGAGACCTTTAAGAAATGAATTATTTTATTCACCAGAATATTTCCCAAGGTTCTCCACTGGGAGAAAATTAGTTTGTTGAACATACAAGCCAACTGTGTTAGTCATAATTTTATGGTTTTAAAAAAAAAGTAACAGTGACATAAGACTGTTTGGCATGGAACACAAAATCCTGTTAGCGGCAAACATCTGTGACAGTCTAGGAGTGGCACGCACCACGGGAATCTATTACAGGGCTAATCATTCTCCCAAGTTATTTCTGGGGATTTAGAGGAGAAATTCTGTTGTCTCAGAAAGGGACATTTACTTCTTCCCAATTTAGCAAAATTAATTTAAATTGGCTGGCAGCTTATCACACCCTCTGCAGGGGGTATTCCAAAGGAGAAAGAAGGCACAGAGAAAAAACATCCAGGCACCATTTAGAAAGGGAACGGGGGTTTTAAGTCTGACGTAGAAGGAAAAGAAAGGAAGCATGGAAGTCATCAAGCAAAAGATTTCTCCTTTTTTCCAGAGCCTGAAGGAACCACATTGCTCCTCATTTTCCCCTAATATCACCATTAGAGAAAGTGATCTGATTTTAGATTTGCTAATGCTCAGTTTGGGAGGGCTGTCTAGCAAGTCATGCGCCCAAGATTGGAGAAATATAAAGACAGGGAGGATATAAGTTTCTCCTCTGGAGTTCACTGACACATTTAGTACCACCTGGTCCTGGGGAAGGTTCCGTGATCAAACAATACCAGGTAAAGACCCATTGAGAGAGGTACACTGATTCATTGTCAGTCTTCTCGGTGAGGGAGAGAGAGAGCAGCACTGTAAGAGCTGTCTCATCAAATGAGCGAAGAAGAGTCAAAAGAATGGTGTGCAGATAGAAGAAGAAAGGGGCACAAGAAGGAAGTGGAAAGAGTAGACCAAGGAAAGAAATAAAGTAAATTTGATATCAAAGATCTATCCATCTGAAATCCTTATTTGGGGGTTACTTTAAAATTCCCTTTATGCTTGGCTAACCCACTTATGTATATGTAGAGAAAACAGATACATAGTCTTTTTCAATGATTGGGTGTCATTTTCACAACAGCACCCAAGCATAATCAACTCTCAGTTCATTGGTCACAACTGACCAGCAACTCAAGTCATCAGACAGAAAACCCCCTGCACCTGTTTAGTGCATCCAGCAAAAGCTAGTGTGAAAGGGAAGCTTTAACAAACACTTTGGAACATGCTTCTATGGAGAATTGTTTCCTGCGTCAAGAGTTCGGAAGAGGGATTCTAACCCTTTTAATCCTATGAGTGGCCTACAGTGACTGAAATGGTGATAAAGTACCCAATACATTCTGAACCCAATGCAGGTAAGTGTGTGCACATATGGATGGGAAATTTTGAGTCCTCTTTTTTAATACTTAGAGGGATTGTTAATTTTCTTTCTCTCATTTATCCTGGATTTCAGAACAAAGCCAGATCTATAAAGTGTCATTTACAACAATAAACAACTTCTGCTAAAGGACATTTCTCAAGATAGAAGGCAATATACAGGTGGTCAGAGGAATACATGTTGCTAAATTTTATTTTTTTAGCAGTACCATATGTGCCATCTCTGGTGTATTTCAGATTAAATTATGTTCAATGGAATGATCTGAGAATATAAGCATTAACTTTTCTCTCTCCTTCCTGCCTTCCCTCCCTCCCTTCCTTTCTTCCTTCAAGAAATATCCTTCAAACACTACACGACTCATTTACAAATAACTTTTGGGGTAGAGCCTACTTAGAATTACTCATTATTTATTTCCCTAGCATTTTTCTTAAATGTTGACACTGCATTCTATCTCCACCCAGATTTGTCATAAGGTATTCAGTAGTTAAAAGTAAGTAAAGATTTTCTTTGAAAACTTACATATTTATTATAAATTTCGTTTAGGTATGTTTTATGTTTTATATCAAATAAAGAACCATACCTACCTTTTTACATTTTGGTTCATATTTTTGTTCTTTCTCATAGACCTCTAAACCATGCACTTTTATTCTTACATTCAGCAAATATTTATTGAATTACTGTTCTTTATCCAGCTTTTGATTAGCATTTGGGGTGATGTGCAAGACAGTATTTGCAGTAAAATATTTAAGTGGTTGGGGCTGGTCCAGTGGCGGAGCGGTTTAGTTCGCACATTCTGCTTCCGTGGCCTGGGGTTCACCAGTTCGGATCCCGGGTGCAGACATGGCACCGCTTGGCAAGCCATGCTGTGGTAGGAATCCCACGTATAAAGTAGAGGAAGGTGGGCACGGATGTTAGCTCAGGGCCAGTCTTCTTCAGCAAAAAGAGGAGGATTGGCAGCAGATGTTAGCTCAGGGCTAATCTTCCTCAAAAAAAAAAAAAAATTATGGGGGAAAATAGATGTCTGTCTACACAGAGTACTTGGGGAGCAGAAAATTTTTGTAAATGTTTACTGCAAAAGGTGGAGAATATTCCACAAAAGTGGTTAGCATTTAAACTTGGAATTTCAAGGTAAGCTGGAGATTCTTGGGGAATAAAAGATAGTAGGTAAGAGTAGAGCATGTGAGGAGTAATCAACATGACAGGCCTAGGAGGAGAGATAGAAGGGTAAGGCTGGAAGTATCTGTTCATTTATCAAATAGTTATTGCTACCAGGCACTGTGTCATGTACCAGGCACTGTTGCTAAGGATTCGAAATACAATGGTGAAACAAACTGAAAAATATTCACCCTCATGGAACTTACATTCTAGTAGGTTCACCTTGCTGTTGGGCTTTGAAGGGACTTGTACAATATTCTGAGGAATTTCATCTAATAAAAAAATTAGAAACCATTGGGGTTTTATTATCACTTGTAAGTGACATGATGAGATCCAAATATAAGAACAACTTTGTGTCATTTTGATAAGTGGACTATGAGTAATGTTGAAATATGAAATAATATCGAAGCAGTATAATTTATAAGACTTGGGGACTAATGGAACAAGACAACGTAAAAGTAGACCACCATGAATTTGACTTGTCTAACTCAAATGATTGAATCTTTCACATTCTAGGTGTATGTGCAAAGTTAGTTCCTATTTATTGGATTTCTCATATTGAAAATAAAGAAAGTGCAGATTTGGGGGGAGTGTGGAGGAGACAGAAGAGATGAGCTATAATGCTGAAATACTGATTTTTGTGAAATCTAGAATTCAGGAGAAAAATCTAAGCTGGATCCATCTGGAGACATCCAATGAGTGTAGTTGAAATTTTGGACATGGAAAGGTCTTTTTGAAGAGAAGACAAAGATATTAGAGATTTTTCAAGGCAGGATATTTAGGTAGTCATAAGAGACTGCATATTCATTTATATTTTGAATGAAGCCTCTTTGCACATCAACACTATGGTGTTGAACTTGTGGTTGGTCTGGTTATTAGATTAAAGATTTGTGTTGGAAAGGACTGTATTTCTAAACAATATTAAATTTTATCCTAAATTATTTTTCATACCCATGAAATATGAGAAGATTCTCTCAAATGTGGTTTTTGCTCCAGAAACTTTTTTTTTTAAAGATTTTATTTTTTTCCTTTTTCTCCCCAAAGCCCCCCGGTACATAGTTGTATTATAGTCTTTGTTGTGGGTCCTTCTAGTTGTGGCATGTGGGACGCTGCCTCAGCGTGGTTTAATGAGCAGTGCCGTGTCCGCGCCCAGGATTGGAACCAACGAAACGCTGGGCCGCCTGCAGCAGAGCGCGCGAACTTAACCACTCGGCCACAGGGCCAGCCCCTGCTTCAGAAACTTTTATTGCACAAATGGCCACATTCTGAACTATGCTATCTTACTTTTAAATCCATAAATACATAAATATCCTAATAGTGGATTATGTGCCCTATACCAGGCTGGGTGCTGGGTACTCCTCCACTTCATCTCTCCAGCACATCTGAGAACTGCTCAGAAACCAACCTTGGAATTGATGGTTCCATGCATAGATATGTCAGTTTCTGTGTTAAACGAGTCTTGGAAATTGTTTACAATTTCATCTTCAGGTTGTACTCTGTCTGGCACTGAGAATTTAGCTTCTAGCTTTTTGAAAGAATAAGTTATAAGCCAATTTGGCAGTCAAGAAGAGGCCAACATTACGGTTAGGATTTTCAGTAGTTTCCCAGAAAACAGGATTGATGTTTCCATTATGACACAATGCCATAAATACAGCTATTTACTTCTGCCTGCTATGTTCTCTTTCCCTTATTCTTTGTCTATCTCTGAAAATTTTCTGGGGCTAGACATCCAGTGGTGATGTGAGGGCCTGTAATTTTGAGAATGACACAGGGGCTCCCTCTCAGGGTATAAACACTTCATTCACTTGTGTGTCAACAGACCAGCCTGGTATAATTGCAGAGACAGCAATTTGTTCCTTTCCCTTTTCCTGTGAGTGAAAACACTGGGCATGCTTAGAAACCTACCCCAGGGAATGCTTTACGCAGGCAATTCCGGAAGAAGGGAACTGTGATGCCTAGTTTCAGAAAAATAGAATGGACAGCAGCAGCCTACGCAGTAGCCTTCTGTTTCATATTATAAGGTAAACAGGAGTCGCATCTATGGAAAGGATTCACATCATATGAACTTGATGAATTTTAAACTTTCTCCATGAATGCTATTTTGATCATTCTACTTCTTTTCTCACAGGATTCAAATACTTAAAATAAATAGGGTTGTGTGTTTGCCCTGATAGCGAGAAATTAAAGGAGACTCCATGAAAGGTAGCATTTTTATCTCTAATCAGTTTTTTGGGGGAAGAGGGGAGAAGCCCCAAGGAATAGACTGCTGATGACAGAACCACTCAAAAACCTTACTAACATAAAGCACAGTCAAAATCATGGTGTGCACATCCTACTAGCACTCATACTAATAATAAACCAGAAGGGCCCTGGGGCTGCAAAATTTAGGGTCATGGATGGTTACCCCCCACACTGTTTGTAAATGTCTTCATTGACTTTTCTTTCTATAATCTGTTCCCAGCACAGGGGCAATCTAAAATATACTCTGTAGTTGCCTTGATTTTTCCCTTTGATAAATTCATGCTTTCAGATTTTTAACCTCTTTATAACTAGACTTTAGTTTCTATTTTATCTGCTGTGAACATGTAGCCTTTTTACAACTAGAATAAAAATTTTAGCCTGCCTTGTAACTTTTCATCTATTTTCTCCTTAAACTTAGATGAAGTAATGGTGGTATTTCTTTCATTAGGGCCAGTGACCTCCAAATCAAAAGGGTTTGCACAGGGTTGCAGATCATAAGATGGTGGGGAGGAAAGATGTAGGAATGAACCAATTGGACTCAAATAGCAGTGTGTTTTTAGGATGGGAATGTTGTCCAGTTTTCTCTTTAAAGAAAAAATAAAGATTGCTTTTCCTTCTCTTCATCTTCCTCATTCTTTATAGAAACAGAATCCCTGGAATTAATAATCACAGCAAAGTAAAAAGGAACATTATTGATTAATTTAGTCCATAAGTATTTATTGAACCCTTCCTACATGCCAGGCACTGTGCTATAAGATGTCTCAGAAAAATCTTCCTTTTGGTAACAGGACTATATATAGCTGGCTTAGGATATACACTGCCCATGAGGGTAGCGTTTTAAATGTGCTGATTTTGAAATGGGGGAAAGGATTAGAGAGAGGGGGAATTAGTTAGACTTTTACACTAATCTACCAGGACAATATAATCAAAAATATGTTGAATAGTATAATACAAATTTGTATTTGGAAAAATGCCAATCCTTTTTTAAATGCAAATTTTAGAGAGTAAAACTGTAGAGTTTTCACTGGGGTAACATGAATGCCAAAGATTAAGGAACTTTGTGTTAATAGTATACATTGCACATGCCCCTTGTCGATTTTTTTTTTTAAGTAAATATGCCTTAAAGAGAGTAAAACCAAAGCCACCTTGAAATCCATGAGTGTGGTCAGGAGAGCACTGGCCAAACTCCAACTTCTTTTTCCATCTCTCGTCCCACACCAGCCAAAATGTGCCAGGCCCAACTCAGCACCACTGCAGATTCTCCTTCTTCCCTCTCCTGCATTCACCATAGCCTTTGTCACTTTCTCTTTTCCAAAGACCCCTGATCCTCTACACTCTTCCTGGTTGGTGGAGGCATGACTGATACTTTCCATCATTCATGCTTTGGCTAGGGATTCAGAGGCCCTTTGCAAAGCAGATAAGTGCCAAGCATCAGCGTTTCATTTTCACATGTGGCATCTGTTCTGTCACCAAGAGACATTACTATCACCATCATACAATTAAGCAAGCTATAGCTGAGAGGCGAGGAAAGATGACCCACTGCAGGTCACACATCAGTCAACAGGTGTTGTAATGAGTGTCCTTTTTGTTCCAAAGGACAAAAAATATACAAGCTGAAGTCAAAACAAGGGTTGCTAGAAGAATATGAGGAATGTCACAGAGTGCTTTGCAAGAAATCTAACAAGGCCTCATTCTAGTAAGACAATCTTTTAGTTGCTTCTCTCCCCTCTTCTTCTCTTCCTGTCTCCTGCTCAGCCCTTACCCTCTATCTTACTCTCTCTCAAAAGTTATCTCATATCTTTGCTTTGCTCTGCTAACTTGCTATATTCATTTCTCTGTATGCTGGTTTTCCTTGCAACAATTTTAGTTTCTGTACCTTTCAATTTCAGGTTGCCCTTAGCTTCATCATAGCATCAATTCTGGCCCTAAATCTAGCACTCTAAGGCCTAACATTCTAAATTTATATTTTAGAGATAAAATCTGATCATCTCAGCTGAATCTCATCCCTGAGCCAAGAACCTGTGGTCATTGGGTAGTTTGGTGTCACAGAAGAGAAGCCTGTCCAGCTGGGCCCATCATGGCCACCTGGACTGCTGGCAAAATACCATTTTGAAGAAGGAAATGTGGAGGGAAAGCTGTCATAAGGACAGCAGCAGAATCAGGTCACCTCTTCTGATTTCAGTCCTGTGCTCTTTGCATGACATCAGCCTGAGGGACTATGTTGAGTTGTCTTCGGATTCCCATAACACTCTACAAAACCCCCAGAAATTGCAGATGCTGACACAGAGTTGGTTGATATGATGAACTTGAAGTGAATTGAGCTATTATTGGCAGGTCATAGACACAACTTATTCTTTCCAACTGAAAGTCAACTTTTAGTTAAATGTCATCCAAGACCTGCTTGAGCCAAGCCCATAGACAGGGTCAGGAGGGAGAAGGGATAGAGAGAAGGAGGGTTTTTAAGATACACAATCAGGTTTCATGAGCAGCATCCTGAGCTTAGAATGAAAGAAAAGAATAGAGAAATGGAAAACCATTGTGCCACATAGTCATTTGTCATTCTTGTGCAGCTGCCAGAGAAATCAGTAAAACAAAAACTAAGGCAGAAGCTACACAGGAGAGTAGAGAGTTCAAATAATTCAAGTACACAGGTGAGACTCTTCCTGTGTCTTTTCTCTAGGATCAAATGGATCAAGACAGGGCACAGAGAACTGGAGGCCCCTTCTACTCCTAAAGCCCCAGAGACATGGGACCAGTGAGTTGAGGTTGGGTAAGAATCTTCAGAACTCGTCAACTTTAGATATTGATGTACTGTTTCATCCATTTTCCACCTGCATCTCCTATATATTCTTCCCTTAAATCCTCTTTTGCAGTGTTTCCTTATTACAATTCAGAGACTAGAAAAATAAACTTTTAGAGATTTTATTTTTCTCTTTTTTCCCTCGCAGCCTAGGTCTTCCTCCTTCCCCCTTTCTCCTCCTCCACACCCTAGGGAGTCCCCAAGGAAATTTAGCTAGTTCGCCAGTCTGGGCTGCACTGTAATTTGGGTTGGCAAACACTGCAGAGCTGCAAGCACCATTTACTTTTTTTCCCCCTCTTTGCACCATTCCCTCTTCTATTTACTTATCACCTCGAATGTTTACAGTCCAGTAAGAGGTCATATAAATTTATTAAACCTCTCTCTTTTTTTTTCTTTTCCTTTTAAAAAGATGTTATTTTAAGTTTTCCTTTCAATTTCCTCCGATTTTCAGAATAGTTCCTCAGGGCTCTCATTATTTGGATCTCCCACTGACTTAATCTTCTCTAGAGCAGAGCGCTTGGAATTTCTTTGGCTTCAGCTGGCATGTTAATCACTTGCCTAGCCTCTAAAGAGGGAGAGCCTCTTTCAATGGAGCTGCTGCCTGAGTTGCTGTCACCGCAGCAAAGAAAACACATCTGGACTCCTCTGTTGAAAGCAATCTGCCCCCTGCCAGCTGCTCAGCTTTGTGGTCACAGCAGAGCAAGCCCCGTGGGAGGTGGGGGATATAAGCAACGAGAAGAACAGCTGCCATGTAGACTCCATCCAAGGTGGAGAAGCCTCTTCAATAGCTTCTAACTCCAGGCGGTGCCCAGGAAGAGACATGGCAGAGCCCACACCAGCCCCCAATGCCTTGGCCTCCTCTGGCCAATTCTAATCACGTGGCTTCTGTGAATCAGCTGGGAAGCCTATGGGGCACCTGTCTCCCACATGCCTTTCTTAGATGTTTTTATGGAGCTTTTCATTTTTACTGTGCTATTTCCTGATCTCCTATCTATTCTTTCCTTTCCTCTTTCTTGTGCTTAGATATTAATTTGGGGCCCTCATCATACTAACTAGAATTTTCCTTATTGATGGTAGAACACAGGCTTTTCCATTATTTAGGGGTGAGTTTACTTTAGGCAAAATCTTCCCAGAATATAGAAGAAATTCCTTCTGGAAGTTCCAAACTACTTTGAGTATGACCCTTGTATAAGCTTTGCTAATTTCAACTTTGAAGACAGGGTTCCTATTGGTGCATGATAAATTGCCCACAGTTTCTAGAACAATGTCTTGCATATATTACACGTTTGATTTGTAATTATTAAATACATTAAAAGAGACCCATCTGTAGAGTGACCTAGTGGATTTTTATGGATAAACATCACCTGTTTGCTCATACAGAGCTCCATTATGCTGTATCTATTCAAGAAACTAGGTACTATATTCATGTTGAATCTAAGCATGACGTCATCATTCAAATCCTTTGATCTGAACACTCTTCTCAGCCCACTCTTCCCTAATCATGATTCCACCATGAAGAACACTCCTAGCTCGTTCTCCTTTTTCTTTTCTTGCTTTGCCCCTCATTCTTGCTGCTCGATATGATTTCCCCAGTGATGACCTGGGTTTTTCTCACCATGGCTTTTCTACTTGCCATGATACTGGTTGCCTCAATGGAACTGAATGCACTATAGTTTTCTCTCAATATCATGTGGTTGATATTTTGGGTCTTCTGCAAGGCTAGCCACACCTCTGACAAGAACCCCTGGACATTACCTGTGGTACTTAATATCATCAGCTCTACAGACGCAGATGATTCGCTTCGATGAGGAATGAGTATTGAACCTGGACCCTGCCAAAAGGGAAAGTTTCTCACACCGAAGACCTATGCATTTGATGTCAGATTACAAAATCTCAGTGTGTTTGATGGCTATTTCTGTTTAGATATTTTCCTAGTTTTCTGTTTTTTCAAATCTACAATAATTTTGGTGGAAAATTAAGTGAATAAAGTATTTATTGAACAAAAATACCCCTAAAGCGACCTCTCACTCCCAAGTTTTAATGGCTCCTCCTGTATGAATAAACCTCACATCTGTACCTTCAGCTTTGATTCTCTCTTTCTTGGACTGCAAGATCCTCTATTAGAGTTTACCGGATTTAATTGATCTTGTTTTTTTCTAGGACCAATGTAATGCTTATACAGCTAAGGAAGATTAAATAAATTAACTCTTTTCCTGCTCATTATGTTCCCCTAAATGTCCTGCTACCATCCAAAACACACTTTTAATTATTCAAAAAATGTTTACTGAGCAAATATAAAGCATGAGGCAATTTTCAAGCCACCAGTGATGAATAACACAGACATAATTCTCACCCTCACTGAGTTTACATTTTAATAAAACCTTCAGCAAAATTCATTATTATTCCTCCAAATTCAAATCATTTAGCCAATGTCCTGGCTTCCCTATATCTATTAATCTTCTAATTCTTCAGCATTATGGTATTGTACATAGTATAAACTTCATAAGGTTTTGTTTAATCACATCCATGAATTTTTACTTTTCCATACCCAGTTTCATGTATGATCATCCACTTCTTCCTGGTGAGCATTCCTTTATAATATTTCTTAGATTGGTCCCTTATTTGCTATCTTAAGTGAGTTCCTGATTGCCTCATTTCCTCCCTCTCAAATGTCTTCTAGTTGATTTTACTTTTCCTTGTCTGTCCCTATTTTCAGCCAGTCTGCTCAATACTACCACTTCTGTCTCAATCAAAGCTGTTTTGGTTCTAAATAACAAAATCCTATTTCAAGTAAAATAGACAAACAGGAGGGAAACACAAATGTGACATAATGATGCAAAGGTATAACAAAGTTACCAAAGGTAGAAATTATAAGAAGGACTTCAGAGACTGATGATATGGCAGAAACTGCATTTATTCTCTCATTCTCTCCAGAAAACTATTATTTCTCATCTCTGTTTCCTCTCTGTGTCTGTTTCACCTTCTCTCTTTTTTTTCTCTCCTTTCTCTTCTCTCTTGTTCTCTCTGTATCTCTGTTTCCTCTGCCTTCCCTTCAAAGAATGTACATTCTCTTTGCACATTCATGTGGCTCAAAAGGGTAACTCTATGCGCTAACTTCCTGTAGTCTCAGTTCAGTTGCCAACAGAGACAAATAAGAATATTCTTAACTCCCATTTCTAAATTCCTGGGAGAGATGCTGAGATCTGACATTCAATCAATTTCTGCCCTTTTCAGATGAGGTATTCATTTCCAATGATTTGCCAAAAGTGGGGAGAATAATGGAGTTGGGTGGGCGTGCTCAAGCTTGTATCGTATAAATACATTTTCCAGGGCCCAACACTGTAGATGAGTGGATGGATGGGTCTAGTCTTCTCAGAGCAGGGATCCTGGGCTGGGTGAATACTACATCTGGTGTCACCTGCAACTCTTTGGGAGTAAAGCCTTTGGGACTCCCATTCATAGTTTATCAGATTGGATGTAGTTTTACCTTCGTACTCCAGATCCTCTATCAATTGGTATTATCTGCCATGTGAAATCTTTTCTCCCTGATTTCAAGTCTCTTCTGCCAGGTGGGGTTTACCCACTTTTTAATAATTTTATCAGTTACGCAACCAGTTTTGTCAAATTCATCTATCAAATTCACTGCAAAAAAAACCCCCCAAAACCCACACTGACTACAAAGTTCAGTTTGGACTAATCTCCTTCCCAGATTCCCTTTCCTAATTTATCATAATTTAGTGGTGTTTTCAGTATTAGTTTTTAAAAAAATTATGGTTTATTGAAAATTATAATTAATGCTTAATTACAATTACTGTACTTGTAAATCAAGTTAGGTTACTTTGTGAATTTAACAATTATTTTATGAATCTACTTGTAATCTCCTTGGAGCGCTCCCTCAGAATGTAGCACAGTCCCAGGCATGTATGAGGATAAATAACCCATATAAAGAGGGCGATTTAGAAAATACTGAATACATATTGTGCCAGGGGATAGATACAACAAGGATAGACAAAACATGAGGGAAAAAACTCAGGAAAACTTTCTCAGAATATTCTATTAACCAAACTATTTGGTAGATATTTTACTCTAAGGAAACAAATTCTTTTCAAGAATTTTAATCAGTGATCCCTAAATTAAGTCAGCTAATGTGGTATTACAAAGTCTTTGTGGTATTACAAAGACAAAGTCTGCTTTTATCCATCTCTTATTACTCTTCTGTGTCTTTCTTGGTAACCCAGTGTTAGTCATTAATTTGAACTCTACGTACAAGAAACTAATAAGATAGTCTGTCTTCAACAACATTCTCTATTTCAGATTCCACTTGTTGAGACTGCCAGGACAATTAATCTAAATAAATGTCTTTATTACATACTGCCCCAAGACTTCAGCCTGTCTTTGGGAGTTCTGCAGTGCCATTGGAAAATCGATTATGAGACTTCCCTCCCCCGTCAGCCTCATGCCTATTCCCTGCAGAAGGAGAGCGTATATGTCCTGGGTTTGGGAACACCCCACCGTGCCTAATAAAAAAGACATTCTATGAGAGCCTAGTCATTCTTTATTTTGAAAAGGTGGAAAAGTAACAGAAAATGGAAAAAAAAACTCTTTAAAGATTCCTCTTTTGCTTCCTATTTTGAGAAACAGAGAAACAGAATGATATGTTTGGTAAAGACTCCGTGAAACTCTTCAGGTAATCAAGAAGTGTTGGTGATTATTATATCTCTAACATTAGATAAAGACTATAGCATGTTGAAAAAAAAAGGACCCAATCCCTCATTCTCAATAAATAAAGGATATAAGTGGAATAGTGACAAACATTCCATAAGTAACCATATTCTAATTTCTGCTTTAATATTGCATTTATCACTCTCACCCAGGGCTTTGGTGCTTCTTTCAACCTCATCACAACGGGAAGCCCTGGACAGAGCATTGGCAAAGCACATCCTAATTTAGGGCACGCAGAAAGCATTGGCTCTATTAGAATTCTTGTTTGTTACAAATTGTTTCTCTGACTTTTGGGAAGTATGAATCAATGGTCCACTCTTGCAGCGACAGCAAGGAGCACCGCTCTGATAGGAGCTATGTCTCCACGTGGAGCTCGGTCTTACTTGGTGCTTGTGGGTCACGTTATTTTTACTGCACACATTGGCTGTTCAACCCAGAATGGTGCACAGTTATACGTCATGAAAACCGAAACAATTGCATTCAAGGTCTCATTTTTGCGAACAATTATATCTTACTCTCCAGAGAAGGGAGAGCTGAGTACAGCAAACAGATTTCAGAACTTGCCTGTGTTGAGTTTGCTTCTTGGGCCTTTATTAATATTTTATCCTCGTAACAGCACGTTGGGATAGGTATGATTATGCTCCCTTTAGAGATGAGAAAACAGATTGTGAAAGATTAAACAAAGTATCCAAGCCCAGGCAGTCGGGATATGTCAGGGCAGAGATGTATTTGAATTCTGGTCTCCGTGGTTCAAACCGTAGGTGGTGGTGTCTAAATCACATATGATGGGAAAGCAAACTCTTTCATGAACCATATTCAGAATGACAGTGAAGAGAATGAAGACCAAGGATAAGAAACAGCCCTTCAAATATTGGAAACTTAGTTGAAGCTAACAAATCCTTAAATATCTTCCTACTCTTTTCCCTTTAACTGGAACAGAATCCTCAAATGAAGGCCCTTAGCTAATTGTATCAATTATATCAATGGCACATATTTTTGCATTTCATTCTAAGGTAAAATTAAAAGTTTATATGTCCTCATTAGAATCACCTTATTCCTTAATTATTTTTAGTGCTTTTCCTTTGGATCATGGGGATTTAGATTGTAGTTTAAAATATTTTCTTTACTACATTGTGTTTCCCATCAATTCCTCTATGGTAGACACGGAGATGGGCCATACTGATTGTCCTTCAAGGAAGGACTTGCTGCCCAGCTGCGTGGAGTGAAGTCAGCAGTCAGTATGGGGGAGTAGGAGTAGTTGTATGGTGAAATCTTGAGAAATTACTTATGGTTCTCCCTTCACTTCAGAGGGACTCTCCTCATCCAATTATACATCAAGAAAGAGTAAGATAGTTCTAGTGGAAAAGCAAAGAGAAACAAAGAATTAGGAGATTTTGAGTTTCAAAACTCAATGCAATAATCTTGAGAATGAAGTAAGGCTTTGGGGCTTTGGTGTGCCCAGGTCTGGGCTTAAACAATAGACATAAAAGAATATCTACTAGAAAGTTTTTCCTCTCAAGGGTTTGGCCCCCAAAACTGGATGAAACCTATGCCCAACATGGTACCCCATGAGGAGAGTAGCATCAGCTACAGTAGGAATCTCTTCAAAGTCCTAAGCACCTGTCTGGTGGTTGGAGAACATCAGACTTTTCTCATACCCCAAGGGAGAGAAGCAAGCATGCCAGGGGAAGGAGTTGAGAGCCCCAAAGGGTCTTGTACTCCTGATAGAATGCCCAGCTATAGGTGTCCATGTGGCATCTTGTGAGCTAGAGGCTAGATGGAGTTGTGCCTGGCTCAGAGGACATCATCATAAGGGAATTTCTGGCCATCTCCACAGATACCATTGGAGATGGAAGCCAATGGTTGAAGACCAGATGTCAATACCAGAAAACCAAAGATCGGATACTCTCTCTGATACGATGATTTTATGTAAGCCTTCTTAGAAGTGAGAGACCATATCAAGGAGAAGCAGGAAGAAAAGAAGACCTTAAGTTTGTTGAATTTACATCCAAACTGATGGCTAAACCATCATATTGAACTATTTATAAGGTAGTGACAAGATTGTGTTCCTAACATACAAAATGGAGACTCAATTTAGAAATAGTTTGATTTTTTATATTTATAGATATATATTACATATGAAATATAAATATATAAAATAAAATGCCTTTTTAAACTTCGCATTTGAGGCATATGAAAATTATACCCACTGCATTTGATTTTCCACTGTCTTGGTTTTTGTTTTGTTATAAAAGAAAAATAAACAAGTCTGAGAGAGTTAAAGGGAGAGAGAAAGATTTGTGCTGGAGAAGAGGTGAGGAAGAAGTTATAAAAGACACCAAAGAGGAGGAGATGAAATAAACATAAGAGAAAAAAGCATTTGCTCCTCTCAAAAGATACTCCCTTTAAAGGGAAGATACAGATGGGTTCCTAGTTTAGTCCTGGCCAGAAAGCAGAGTTTCCCTGGCCGAAATGTCTGACATACCGGTATCGAATGACAACTTGCATTTATTACTGTTGTCTGTTCTCTAGGTTCCTTGGTGTTCTCTTAAGCTAGTGTATGTTTGTTGTTCTGGAGTACTTCATCATGTATGTCATATGTTGTGAAGATTAGCTGAAGAGATATCATTAAGGAAAAAATTTAGGAGGAGCAGAGGAGGGCTAAAAAGAGAGATAGAGGGAGGGAAGAAATGAAGGAGATGGAAGGAAGGAAATAGGGAAGGATATAGGAAAAAAGGAAGGAAGGAAGGAAAGAAGGAAGACAGGAGGGAAGGAAGTAGAAAAAGTGGCAAATTCCCAGTGCTGCTAATTTGGGAAAGTCATTCCTGAGAGAATCAGAAAATTGGCCAGTATGACCACCTAAATTCTGTTTTTTCTTATCAAATCCTTTCTTCTTATCCCCTTCCCTATAGTGAGCGGTTCCACCGTGTCAGTTCACAATAGCTTGGGAGACATAGTTTGGTAAAAATCAACACAGTTCAGTCAATCATATTTCAAGTCCCTGAAGAGCACGTGTTCTCTCTGTAACAAAGTGAGTTATCTTCTTCTGAATGAGATGAGGCTGAAGGTTTGGGAGGAGATAAGAAGCACTAATGCACCACAGCGTTTAAACAAATCAATGTACCACTCTGCCTTGAAAGCCACCAAACAAACAATTGATACCCAGCAGGCCCAGCACTTAAGGCAGCTCCAGGCAGCCACCAGGCCAGCTATTTATTTCCATTCCTTGATACCTTTAGAACATCATTAGCAACAGGGAAGCAT